GAAAGGGGAAGGATTCTCTCCACGATGAAGGGAACTTGAAGAGGGTTTGATGTGTATGAGGGGGTTCCCACTGGGGACCTGTTAAAAAAAAAAAAAAAAATCGGGGGGGAAAAAGCCCCATCGCCACTTTTCTCCACTGAACCTCTCTCTATCTCGCCGGCACAGGAGCGGGGGGCCACGGGCCGAGGGGCAGAGTATAAAACAGGATACAGGCTGGAAGTACATCCTTATAATATTTATTACTGGCGGAGGATGAATCACTTTCCAATAGACGGGCCACTAGCTGTTGAAGGGAGAGAAGGAGGGGAAGAGAAAAAAAAATCTCTTTAACAAGGAGAAATATATATGTTCTGCTAAAGGATGTGCTCACGGGCTGGCAAAGGTACAGGCAGAGGCTGCCAGTTCTCCTTAGTTCTCTTCTCCGTGACCTCCCGGGCCACTGGTCCAGCCCGCAGCCTGGATGCCTGTCCCCGTTTCAGCCATTTTCTAACTTAATTTCAATACATCATCAGCCCAAGGGCGAGAAGGGGCGATTTCAATGGAGGGGTAGAAAAAATAAAAAACCAAACAAACAACCCCCAAAAGAACCCACCAAACCAAAGCCCATTTCTTTCCAGGTGATAACTAACTGGAAAAGTGAATTCCTCTGCCCGGACGGGAGGGAAAACGAGCCCAGTAACACCACCAACTCCTGAGCGCTTTACCTGGAAACTTTGGAAGAGGGCTCTGCATTAAACTTTAACCGATCTATTCTCTAATTCTTCACTTTTGCGTTATTAATTTATGACAGATAAAAGCATAGCTGAGCCTTTCTCATTAACTTTTCAAACGCCACTTAATATTGTTCCATTAAAAGAGGTGACTTAGTAGCCTCTGGATCGGCTTTAAAAGCGAGAGGGATGAAGAGGGAGAAGGTACATTAAACAGCTTGCTTAAAACTCGTCCTTCCCCACCAACAATTCAAACGACACCATCCCGACTGGTTCGTACTAGCTCCTTCCAGGGGAAATAGCTTCATATTGGGAAGGGGATGGGGGTGGAGGAGAAAGGCAGAGGAGGGATATATATCTTTCAACCCCTCCATCCTCCCAGGCACTTTCGGGAGGGTTGGGGTGAAGGCATTTCACAGTACGCCCAAGACATTTCAATAAAAATTTATTGAAACTTCAGTGACTTTTTAAAGGGGAAAAAAAAATTACAGGAAAAAAAAAAAAATCAAGAACTTCTCAACATTTATATAACACAAAATATACCTTCATTTTTTTTTTCTTTGAACCAGCTCTGAGCACCTGACTTTCAAGCCAAGAAAATATGCACTCACTCAAACAAAGACAACAATAAGCACAGTAGTAAAACTCCATCGTGGGATTGTTTTTTTTGACACACCAAGGAAATGGGGGAAAAAATAATACAAAGTAAAGAAAATCCTAGAATCTTCATCTTTTTTTCTTTTTTTTTCTCTCAAGCCACTGGAGAAGCCTGTTGTCGTGTATTAACGTATAGAATTTTGTTGTTGTTGACATTTTACACGGAAAGTAGCACTTTGAACACTGAAGAAATCGAGGATTAAAAGCTACCATGGCACATTGCTTTTTCTTTTTCTCTTTCATTTTTTTTAAAGGTCTTTGATTAATTTCGGTTGTTTCTGCTTTGCCTTTTGCATTCGGCTCCTTTACAAAAGGACGAGGTCAGGTTTTCTGGGGTGAACTCCGATTTTAAAAGTGAGCCCTCAAAAATGGGGGTATTTCTCCTCTGGGTCGGGGTGTATGTTTAAAGGAATTACGAACTTGAAATGAAAAAGACTAAAAATAAAAACAGAATGAAAAAAAAAAGACAGCTTCAGTCGTATTTACAGAGATATGTACAACGTCAATAAATTAAAGTTTAATTTCGAGTATTCATATTCCACGTATTTACAAGAGTTATCAAATAATTACATAAATACTTTGTTTTAATAATAGTGTCCGCTCTTTTCTTCTTCTCAGTATGTTTAAACCATGTTATTGCATATACAATTAAAGAGGGAAAGCTGTGATAAACCTACAGTCAAGCTACAGAGGTTTTTAGATAAAATAAATTCACTTCTTTTTTTTTCTTTCCAACTACACTTCTTATCGTTGTTGCTACAGGGAGGATGTTTAAGGTAGAGGGACGAGGGCCTTATTTTTGTTTTTATTATTATTATTAATATTTTTTTCCCTGGGATTTGAAACGAGCATTAAAAATAAACAACAAAACCCCACCGAAATAAAAAAAATACCCCCCCTCCCAAAAAAAAAAAAGCAGACTACTATGGAACATGCAAAAAAAGCCACTGACTGGCTCTCAGACATCACAATAATATTTTAAACACACAGCTTCCCTTAATATTGACTAAGGGGGTTGTCGTTAACAACCCGTCCAGGAAACAACTGTTGAAGAACCGATATGCGAGTTACTTACACACTTTTCTTTTCGGAAAGAAAAAAATCACTTCTCTTACTTAATTTTTATTCATACGGTTGTTTGATTACTTTTTTTTATTTTTGCTTTTAGGTGTTTTTTTTCTTTTTTTTTTTTCCTGTTTTTGTTTTGTTTTGTTTTTACACAGTTTAAAAAAAAAAAAGAGAGAAAGGAGGATGCCACAACCGCGAGCAGCCTCCGACCCAGCTCTCCCACCTCGGCTCCGCTCCCCCATCCCCGACCCTCTCCCTACCCTCACCCCCCCCCTTCCCCCCATACTTCGCCAGATACCTTTTAGCTGATAAGAGCGCACACCACGCCGGGGGATTTTATATTAAAAAAAAATAGAAAGGGGAAGAAAAAAAAAAAATTAAAGAGGGGGGTTAAAATTAAAAAAAAAAAAAAACAAAACCCAACAACAAAAAAAAAAAACCAACTCGCGGGTGGAGGATGTGGTTTTTTTCAAACAAAGTGCACTGCGAGACTGATTTGAAATGAGCTCCCGGAGGCCGGGGAGGGCGAGGGGGGGTTACGGGGAGCCGCTGCGGGATCTGTCCTGCTTGGGGTCGAGCCCACTGACCAGGCGCTGGATGTTTTGCAGTTCGCTGGTGGCCGCCTCTTTGTCCGCGCCCAATTTGGGGGAGAGGGAGACGGAACCGGAGGAGAGGGTGGACGAGCGGCTGGTGAGGTCCGAAGCGGAGTCCAGGGGTACGGAACCGGGGCTGGTGGTCAATCCCCCGCCTTTCCCCTCGCCGGAA